CAAAAACTATTTTTGAATCCTTATACTCCAATAAATTAGAAGATAGTGAAGGCATCGATAAATTTCTTAAGTCATATGATCTGCCCAGATTGAGTCAGGAGGATATAGACAACCTAAACAGACCAATATCAATTGAGGAAATAGAAGAAACCATCAAAAGACTACCAACTAAGAAAAGCCCAGGACCGGATGGGTATACAGCAGAATTTTACAAAACCTTTAAAGAAGAACTAATACCAATACTTTTCAAGCTACTTCAGGAAATAGAAAAAGAGGGAGAACTTCCAAATTCATTCTACGAGGCCAACATCACCCTGATACCTAAACCAGACAAAGACACTTCAAAGAAAGAAAACTACAGACCAATATCTCTAATGAACCTAGATGCAAAAATCCTCAATAAAATTCTGGCGAATCGGATACAAAAACATATCAAAAAAATTGTGCACCATGATCAAGTAGGATTCATCCCTGGGATGCAAGCCTCATTCAATATACGGAAATCAATAAATGTTATTCACCACATCAATAGACTTAAAAATAAGAACCATATGATCATCTCGATAGATGCGGAAAAAGCATTTGACAAAGTACAGCATCCCTTTATGTTCAAAACTCTAGAAAAACTAGGGATAACAGGAACATACCTCAATATTGTAAAAGCAATCTATGCTAAGCCTCAGGCTAGCATCATTCTGAATGGAGAAAAACTGAAGGCATTCCCTCTAAAATCTGGAACAAGACAGGGATGCCCTCTCTCTCCACTTCTCTTCAACATAGTTCTCGAAATACTGGCCAGAGCAATTAGACAGACGAAAGAAATTAAAGGCATAAAAATAGGAAAAGAAGAACTTAAATTATCACTATTTGCAGATGATATGATTCTATACCTAGCAGACCCAAAAGGCTCTACAAAGAAACTATTAGAGCTAATAAATGAATTCAGCAAAGTGGCAGGATATAAAATCAACACACATAAATCAAAGGCATTCCTGTATATCAGCGACAAATCCTCTGAAATGGAAATGAGGACAACCACTCCATTCAAAATATCTTCAAAAAAAATAAAATACTTGGGAATCAACCTAACAAAAGAGGTGAAAGACTTATACAATGAAAACTACAGAACCCTAAAGAGAGAAATAGAAGAAGATCTTAGAAGATGGAAAAATATACCCTGTTCATGGATAGGCAGAACTAACATCATCAAAATGGTGATATTACCAAAAGTTCTCTATAGGTTTAATGCAATGCCAATCAAAATCCCAACGGCATTTCTTGTAGAAATAGAGAAAGCAATCATGAAATTCATATGGAAAAATAAAAGACCCAGAATAGCAAAAACAATGCTAAGCAGGAAGTGTGAATCAGGCGGTATAGCGATACCAGACTTCAAACTATACTACAGAGCAATAGTAACAAAAACAGCATGGTACTGGTACCAAAACAGGCGGGTGGACCAATGGTACAGAATAGAGGATACAGAAACCAATCCACAAAACTACAACTATCTTATATTTGATAAAGGGGCTAAAAGCATGCAATGGAGGAAGGATAGCATCTTCAACAAATGGTGCTGGGAAAACTGGAAATCCATATGCAACAAAATGAAACTGAATCCCTTTCTCTCGCCATGCACAAAAGTTAATTCAAAATGGATCAAGGAGCTTGATATCAAATCAGAGACACGCCGTCTGACAGAAAAAAAAGTTGGCTACGATCTACATTCGGTGGGGTCGGGCTCCAAATTCCTCAATAGGACACCCATAGCACAAAAGTTAATAACTAGAATCAACAAATGGGACTTACTCAAACTAAAAAGTGTTTTCTCAGCAAAAGAAACAATAAGAGAGGTAAATAGGGAGCCTACACCCTGGGAACAAATCTTTACTCCTCACACTTCAGATAGAGCCCTAATATCCAGAGTATACAAAGAACTCAAAAAATTAGACAATAAGAGAACAAACAACCCAATCAACAAATGGGCCAAGGACCTGAACAGACACTTCTCAGAGGAGGACATACAGTCAATCAACAAGTACATGAAAAAATGCTCACCATCTCTAGCTGTCAGGGAAATGCAAATCAAAACCACCCTAAGATACCATCTCACTCCAGTAAGATTGGCAGCCATTATGAAGTCAAACAACAACAAGTGCTGGCGAGGATGTGAGGAAAAGGGTACACTTGTACATTGCTGGTGGGACTGCAAATTGGTGCAGCCAATTTGGAAAGCAGTATGGAGATTTCTTGGAAAGCTGGGAATGGAGCCACCATTTGACCCAGCTATTCCCCTTCTTGGTCTATTCCCTAAAGACCTAAAAAGAGCATGCTACAGGGACACTGCTACATCGATGTTCATAGCAGCACAATTCACAATAGCAAGACTGTGGAACCAACCTAGATGCCCTTCAATAGACGAATGGATTAAAAAAATGTGGCATTTATACACAATGGAGTATTACTCTGCATTAAAAAATGACAAAATCATAGAATTTGCAGGGAAATGGATGGCATTAGAGCAGATTATGCTAAGTGAAGCTAGCCAATCCCTAAAAAACAAATGCCAAATGTCTTCTTTGATATAAGGAGAGTAACTAAGATTAGAGTAGGGACGAAGAGCAGGAGAAGAAGATAAACATTTAACAGGGATGAGAGGTGGGAGGGAAAGGGAGAGAGAAGGGAAATTGCATGGAAATGGAAGGAGACCCTCAGGGTTATACAGTGGAGGGGGTAGAGAGAGAGGAGGGGAGGGGAGGGGAGAGGTGGGGAGGGGGGAGGGGGGAGGATGGGAAAGGCAGCAGAGCACAACAGACACTAGTATGGCAATATGTAAATCAATGGATGTGTAACTGATGTGATTCTGCAATCTGTGTATGGGGTGAAGGTGGGAGTTCATAACCCACTTGAATCAAAGTGTGGAATATGATATGTCAAGAAATTTGTAATGTTTTGAACAACCAACAATAAAAAATTTAAAAAAATAAATAAATAAATAAATATTGCGAAATTTCAGCTTCAGTATAAACTCAGTGTAATTACACAAAGAATCCCAATATAATTCTTATTTTATTTTAGAATCAAGTTTTGACAAAATGAATCTAAAATATACCTATAACAATAAATGGATACAAATCTTTCAGAAATTTCAAAAAACAGAAAAAGCAAGAGCATTTGTGATTTACAATATTAAAAAAAAAAGAAAAGATTATTTGATACAGCTTAGTATATAAAATAGAAGATATAAATATATATATAATACATAAAAATTGCACAGATATAAATCTCTACTATTTTAACTAATAAAATTAATATAGAAGTCATTTAAGAAATCACAAGAATCCATTAATACAAGAAAATCATATAATAAATTTACTAGCATAGTTAACAAACTCTGAGATAATTTACTATAATAAAATACCATAATGTAGTTGACCACATTAATATGTACAAAGATAAAGTTGGGTCGTCATGTACCTAACTTCTAAGAAGGCACTTTAAAATACCGTACCACTCTTCATTTTAACAAAAAACAATAAAATGCAAATTAAGATACTTTTAGCTCTCATCACCATCATTTCATATTATCCTGGATATAGCAGCCAAACCAACTCAACAGGAAAAATAAATTAGCAGTGTTAGAATATTGACAGTAAGAAATGCCAAAATCATTGAAAAATGACATTAGTTAAAGTGTATACCAGAAAGGCCAGATAGAGGGGGGAAAAAAGCCATTCCTAAACTGAAAAAAATAACCTCCAAATGAGTTTAATCTTCATAAAGTTCATGACATAACTGCAAAGAGAAATGGACAACTTAAGTAAAGTGGAATCACAATAACAGAACTGTGAATCTTTGGAATAGATCTTATAAGCAAAAAGAACTACAAAGAAGTGGTAGATTGTATTGATGGGTAGTCATATTTTTAGCAGCAATAGTATGGTTTTATTTTTTCCTGATATATCTCAGCACACTACATTCTGTTTTATTGTAGTGTTACATCTCTTTCCCTTTCAGTAAATCTATGCTCTGCTGCTTTCATAAAAGGTCTACTGATATATAATTGACAAATAGGAATTATACATGCTTATGGAATATAATGTTTTGATATATGAATACATTGTGAAATAGCCACCAAAATAAAGCTAATTAACACATCAAAAAAAAATTCAATAATTGCAAATATTAAGATGGATTTTTTTTTTTTTTTGGCAAATGAAAGGAATCCATGCTGAGCCAAGCCTGGTGACAACATGATATATCTCCATCAATATCAGATGTTAAAATAAAGTGAGGATATTGGAAGAATTTCAAAGATATTTGAAAAATGGCAGCATCACTGGAATAGAACTCCTTCCCAGTTGCAACTGCATTTAACGAAACACATTGGATGTCTGAGCTGTGGCATGTGTGCTAAAATCTTCCTGAGATATTATAGTCGCACCTCATGTGTCAAGTGCTAGATTGTGTGTTATTGATCATAAGGCCTGCAAGAATTCAAAAAAGAGCTCATTATCAGGGAAAGTTTTCATCTATCCAAATTTTAAAAGGATCAGTATTACAAACCTGGCACTGAAATGCTGAACTAAAGAAATGGAGAATCAAAAAGAAGTGATATCAAAAAAAAAAAAAAAAGCAAAAACTGATCTGCATCTTGCCTCCAAATGAGTAAGATCATTAAGAGTGCCCCTCAAAGAAAATCTAAAAAGAATGGCGAGGATGGTTTTGTTTACCAATAACAGAAATAACCTTCGAAAGTTTAAGTGACAAAGAGTACTCCTTGGAGGGATAACAGCAGAGTGATATTCAGCCAACTCACCTCCACATGGTTATCCTACATGTTTTTGGTTGGTTGGGGGTTTATGCTGCACCCTTTATTAAGCATTTCAGCCATCAGCCCTGGACACTAGAGTTCCTCATAGACTCCAAGGGCAAGATGCAGCTATGCCCCCCAAATGGACAAGAGCCTGTACATCATTAGTTTTGGCAACAAGTAACAGAAAATTCTGATTCAAACTGGCTTATCACAGGGATTGGCAAATGACAGCCTGTAGGTTGGCCACCTGTCTTACTGGAACACATTCACATGCATTCATATACATATTGTCTAGGGCGCTTTAGAGCTATAGTACCCGATTTGACTAGTTGGGTAGAGCCTGAAGTCTTAAAATAGTCACCATCAGTGCACTTTAAGAAAAAGTTTTAGTGACCCTGACTTCTCTAATAGGTCATGTATTATCTCATAGTTTGACTCAGTGTCAAGGTGAACTGAAAAATGCCATTAAAGAACCAGGCTTTTTAGAATTTTTTTTCATATTTTTATTGGTGCATTGTAATTATACATAATGGTGGGATTCGTCATAACATATTCACATATGCACACAACAAACAATATAATTTGGTCAACATTGTTCCCCACTATTTCCCAAGGGTTTTCAGAATTCTTGCTGTGATTTTCAGTTGTTGTCCTCTTCCCAAAATACACTCTCCCGGTGGCAGGAAAGCTGATCATGGCTATCAGGGATATGTGCTTCCTTGTTCATGTCTAGCAGAAGAAAGAGTGATTTCTCCTCTAGGCAAGGAATATAAACCTTCAATCAAATTGGGCCAATTTAGGAAATGTGCCCATTATTGGGTCAATAGTTGCCAAGGATTGCCATACACATATTGTCTTAGCCTAATCTGTGACCCCCTCCAGGGATGGGTGGGCCTAAAATAACATCAGTATGAGAAATGGAGAATGGATACTAATAAGTAAGTTTGCAAGACTTTCCAGACAACCAAATACTGGAGGACTATGGGATACCTAGGACTCTTTTTTTTTCCTCCATCTTTAAATCTCTGCTTCTGTCTTTGACTTTGATTCATTGCTTTTCCTCATCACAACCTGGTTTCTTTCACTTGTCTCAGCACACAGCAGAAAAAAATTATTGTCAATAGCTTAGATTTTTATTGGTACAGTCTTTCAACTGAATCTCTCATTTTTCCATCTTATTTTCAAGTTCCTAGGGCAAGGTTCTGGATAGCCCAGCCAGAATCTGGATCATCCTTCAAACAAAAATGGAGTCATGTTCTAGAATTTGGAAATTTTCACTATATCCATGTGGACAGTAATAGAATGAGTTAATTCTGGAATGGGGTATTGAGCAGATAAGCCAATAGATATCTGCTACAGTAGGTTTATTTCTCCATGTCAGATTAAATAGTAGAATACTTTTCATTACAGGTGATTATGCACATGAGGATTATTTTTTCATTTTGAGAAACACGGATGCTAAAGAAGAGTCATTGGAATAGGATAATTTATCTTCTATATGAAGCTACAAATGTGGGTACCTGGTATAACATTTCTGTCCCTTCATCTGCAGCACTGCCCTTGTCCTAAAGGTTCAGGATGGCAGCTAGAGCTCCTGCACACATGTCCTCAACTGTAAGCAGCAGAGAGGGAAGGGATAAGGAAGGGACAAGAGGTAAGCACCAGGTTAAGCAACCTTAATCCAAAATCTAAAATCTGAAATGTTTCAAAATCAGAAATCTCTTAAGCACTGAAAGGACCCCCCAAGTGGAAAATCCATTAATTATAATATTATATAAATTATAATTACACAATTATTAAAAATATTATATAAAATTACCTTCAGGTTATGTGTATATGAAACATAAATGAATTTGGTGTTTAGCCTTGAGTCTCATTCTCAAGATATCTCATTATGTATATGCAAATATTCCAAAAATCTAAGAAAACATGAAATCCTAAACAATTATGATCCAAACATTTTGGATGAGGGATGCGCAACCTGTAATTCTTCCTCTTAGACAAATTGCATGGGAAATAGTCTCTTTTTTCTTTTTCCTGGACATCTACATGCTCAGCTTAAAAATCGGGCTTTCTATTGCTATGGAAGAAGAGATCACATGTTAAGGGACCAATTGCAGTCTCTGCATATTGATCATTCATTTTTAGGACACATAGGCTAAAAACATTTCTTTTTTGCTGATTTATTTTTTATTGACAATAATTGTATCTACTTATAGAGTCTGTTGTGATGTTTTGATCAATGTATACATTGTCAAAAGAGTCAACCAGCCTAACTAATTTATTCATCACCTCACCAGCTTGTCTTTGTTTTTGTAGTGAGAATGTTAAAAATATATTCTCTTAGCAATTTTGAACAATACAATACATACAATACAATGCATTGCATGATGAGAATAGTTAAAATAGTTTCTTTTTAACTCAGAAAGAAAAAAAGATAGTCATGATTAAGGAACACAGAGTTTAGTAATAACACTTATATCTTGGACCCTGCTATTGAAATTTAAATACATTAAAGCAACAGAAAGATACACAAAACACAGCAAGTGTTTATTTATGTCATATATGGCCTATGAATAAAGGCAATGCTGTGTCCTAGTGAGGAATGTGACCAGTGCATGTCATTTTAGATAAATTTCAATCTAATTCTGTAGATGTTGTGGTATAAAGGAGGAGGATTAACATTCCATAAATTCAGACTCAGTCTTAGAATCATGAAATGCTAAAAAGCTATTATTTAAGCCCAGGATCCTTCTTCCACTGCTAAGCTATCAAAATGTAAATGTCCAGAATGACCGGGTATATTTGTTCAAAAAAGTGTTCCAATTCTGCTTACTACAATGATAGCTTGTAAGAACTCCAACCAAGGGTTTATAGCTTGCCTTTCAAAACATGATTGATGGTTCTAGCCTTTTCTTAGCAAGTTTCCTATGGAAAGAAGAATCACATAATCTTCTCCTTGCTACTAATGTGTGTTTTTAATGGTGACTGCCACGAGTCTGACTCAGTCAGCTTGGATTTAGAAAAAAATAATAAAGCTCAGGTCTCATGCCTGTGAGTGAATAGGGAGTATAGAAAGGGATTTTTTTAGTACCTGAAAAGTTTCAGCAAAACTAAGCGTCACTGGCGAGGGTGTGCCAGGAGTACAGGGCACCACCCTTCCTGCACTTAGGGAGTGTAAGAGCAAGGACGTCAAGTATTATTTGGTGACAAGAATAGAACATTATTCTGAGGAATAAAGTGTTATTCAAATTCTACCAAAGTACACAGATGCTGTAACATGGTAATTATTCTAAGAAAGAAAGTTTAATTTAGAAATTACCTAACCTTTTGGGTTTCTATTTTTGATGACATTTGTAATATAAATGAGCAACAAACCTGTGTCTCTCAGTCTTTTACATCAAACTCCAAACCTGATTTGCAATTTTATTTTAAGATCAGCATCCCATTTTTAGCATTTAGTCTATGTTTCAAAGATTTAAGTCCATTCTAGGCCCAGGTAACCTGCAGAGAAAGAATGGAAAAGTAAAAGGAATGAATCCTGTTGTCTTCAAGCAAGGCAAGAGTCACCATGTCACAGTGTGACTGGCCCCTTCTCCTGCGGTGCTGCCCTTAAAGGTCTGGGCAGAAGAGGAAGTCACAAAATGACTGATGTTTACTAAGTGTTAGGACTTTGACCTTTCCCTGTGAACCAACAAAATCATCAATATAGCTTTAGTTACGCTTAATTAAGTACATCCAGCAAACTCACTTTTTAATTCATTCCTTTAGCAATAATTTTTCAAGCATCTGTCTCCTCTGAGCTCTGTATACACAGAAAGATCAGAAGGAGTCCCCAATCTCAAAGAATTTTCAATCCAGTGACAATGGTATTACTTTCATTTATTGGACTAATCAGCATGCATATAGGAAATTGACAGAAAATACAAAGGATCACAAAGTTAGATGGAATAACTATTAAATTCCCCAAACTTCCTATAATGTTGTCAAATTCCTGTAATTACATTCCTCTAATGTTTTTAATTTTAAAACACAAGAGTAATTTAAAACCCTAGTGTTAAAAATTGAGTGCTAAGTTTTATTTCTTCAAATAGTATTACTTTAAGTAATAGAGCCTCCATTTTTAATAACACACGGTTGCTGTCTAAAGCATAAATCCATTATTTTAATCATAATACAAATTCTAAGTCTCATATGCTTAACACAATTATTATAGCAAATCTACTTAAGGCCTCCTAGGAGGAGGGAAAAGGGCATGAGTGAGAATATTAGAGAATAAAATAGCTTATACAATTTTAAGTCTTCCAAGGAAAAGGACAGTGAGATGAATGACCCTTTTTAACTTCTGTACCAACTACATTATCATTTGCTGCAAACCCCCCATCACACAATGCTTAGGCTTACCAGAAAATATTCTTGAGCGGGCTCAGAATTGTTAAGTCATTAGTACTTGTAGTCTGCTTCATAATACTGAGAATAGTACTTCTTGAAATGTCTCAAAAAAGAGAAGTGTTACTATAAGCACGTAACAGCTATAGCAGTCATCAGTCATCAAAACTGGTCAATGGTTTTACCCACAAACCAACTTGCTGTTAGAATCCCACCCGTTTTCAGCTAAGAAAACAGTTCACATGAATTCAAAGCCCCTAAGCGAGCTATGAATACTCAGCACTATCCAGATGGGACCTATGTCTTTTATTATCCATCAAAGAAAGTACAAAAAGAACATTAAGGAGTTGTTTTGACCATGAACCTGATCAAGTCCATCCTTAACTAACTGCCTTTTTGATTCCTCTGGAGCAGAAATACCAATGTAATGTGAATATTTTAAAAGGAGGTTACCAAAAAATAAGGGCTGTAAAGAAGAGATGGTTATCAAGTTCTTCAAAAGCAACCACCGAAGTGAACAAACTGTTGTGGGTGCTTTTAATATGTAAGTACAAAGTCATGTATGTGCTCATCTCTGTCACCAGGAAATAAGAGATAAAAATCCCCCTGAAGATTACTGAATCAACACAGATAGGACTTTTATAGACTTTTCACATTTTTGCCATTCCCATCTGAAGATATGAATTTTCATTTGTTCAAATATAGCTTTTTATTTCCTATCATGTGGCAGGCACTGATCTATCTGGTGCTTAGAATAAATCAGTGAATCTGGGCATGGGCAACTTAGTAAAACCCTGTCTCAAAATTTAAAACAATATATCAATATAAAGGGATGAAGATGTACATACAGCTAAATGGTAGAGTGCCCCTGAGTTCAATCCCCAGTGCCACAAAAAAAGGAGGAGGAGGAAGAGGAGAAGGAGATGAGGGGGGTGGAGAGGAAGGAAGAGGAAGCAATGGGGACATCAATGAACAAAGCAAAGATCCCTGTCCTTATGGAGGTTACATTTTTAGGTGGAAGACAGAAAATATAAGCATAATAAGTAATGTCATTAGGACATTAGATGGGATAAATGTGACAGGAAAAGAAAATACTAAAGCAGGATAAGGAGTCAGGAGTGCTGGGTATGCAGAGGTAAGATAAGTCCAGTTTGAAACAGGTGGCAGAGCAGGCTTCACTGGGGAGGTGAGAACTGAGCCAACAGTGAATAAGGTGAGGGTGTGGAGAGATACTTTCAGTGGGGCGGGGAAGGGGAGCATCCCAGGTGGAGGGATCAAACATGTCTGTGTTGGAGGAACAGCAAGGACACTACTGTGGCTGGGGTAGAATGGGTGAAGATGGGGTTAGCAGGAGTTGAAGCCAAAGAGATAATGGAGAGCAGGTCATTGGGACTGTGTCGACCTTCATAAGGATTTGTATTTATCCTGAATGAAATGGGGCACCATTATGAGTTTTTGAGCAGAGAAGAAAATGTGATTAACATACATTTTTGAAGCATCACTTCCAATTCTTGAAACTAGAACACAGAGCAACAAGAGTAGAATCAGACCTGTTGGGAAGCTATTGTAATAATCTAAGAGGTGACGGTGCCTCAAAGTGGTAACAGTGGTCGTGGTGATGAGTTGTTGGGTTTAGGTTCTATTTTGAAGGCGGAGCCAACAAGATTTGGATATGAGAAAAGAGAAAAAGAGAAGTGAAGGAGGACCCTTAAGTTTTTGGGTTGAGTCACCTTCAATGAGGCTGTGCTGGATGTGGGTGGAGCCTGGACTTCCTGAATGACAGCACCTGTCTGGACTTCAGTGTGATAGATCAACTGGGCACAGGACCAAGGTCTGCAGTTCTGGAAAGAAGTCTGAGCAGGACAGATATATATGGTGACTTCTACATGATATTTAAGGCCCTGAAGCTGGGTGAGATCATCAGGAGAGAAAGAGCCCTGGGGCCCTTCATGATTATGAGGCCAGAGAGAAGAGGAGGTGCCAGTAAAGGAGTCTGAGAAGAAATGCCCAGGGAAGAGGAAGAAAATGAAGACAGGACATCCTGGAAGCCAAGTGAAGGAACTGTTTCTGAGAAAAGGGAGTTAGCAGCTGGGCCAGAGAGCTACTGACACTCACTAAAGATGTGGCCTGAGACTTTACCAATGTGTAGGTCTTACAAAAGTACAGGTCTTCAGTAGCTTTGCAAAGACAAGTTTCAATAGAGAAATCATGAGAGGAACACTTATTTGGAGAGAGGTTAAGAGTTGATAAGAAGAAAATTAAGGCAGAGAATATAGTTTGAATCCTTTAGAAGAATGTTGCTTTTAAAAAGATTAAAAAAAAAAAAAGAAAAGAAAAGAAAGAAAGAAAGAAACCAGAACTGCAGCTAGCCCCATTTTTTAAAATGTTTTCTTTGTTTATTAATGTGAAAAAATTAACAACCATCAAATGAATGCCTTATTGTTTCAAGCAGGCACACATGTCTAATAAATGTCTAGTAAATATTAAGTAATTACTATAAAATTAACTATTTACTATGGAATTACTTAACCAATTATGAATACTCTTTTCTGTACAAGGTCATTTCAGAGATTATAAAAGCATCTCCAGTATAAAGGATCCCTCATGCAAAAGCGGCCTTCTCAGATTAATAAATACTTGGGACTTCTTTCTCCCATTCTTCTCAAAATGTGATCATTTAGCTCAGCAGGAAAACGGTAGTGAAGCAGAGGCCTGGTGACCTCTGCCACTCACCCAGTACCAGGCATTTCTTGCACGCAGTATCTCACTTCCAATAATACAAGGGGGAAGTGAGCCAGTCTGTGTGTGGGTGTTACAGGTGTGAGGAAGATAAGGAGAAAGGAGGAATAGTGTATTAGATATCAAACCTAACTCCCATGACTCATTTTTTACTGTTATTCAGGTGTTTTGTTCTAATAACTTAAAACCCCAAAGATGCATGCGTGTTTGTTTTTAGGGTATTTTTTTTATTTTGGAGCTGTGGAGATAGCAAATTTTTTTTTTAATATTCTGTTCTTTCTCACATTCAAACTATGGCTAATCCACATCATGATATCTAAGTCACTGCTAATATTCTGAAGCTCATCTTTTAAAAAATCTGATTTAACTTAGTTTTTAAGGCATCCTTGAAAAGGAGATAATATTGAACATTGCATCCATACTTAGAGCTAAAGATCAATTCTAGTAGAAGAAATATGTTTTATCTTATAGCTTTTCACTAACACAGATCATTTTTCACCTAGCCATCTAATTTTGTAAGAATAAATGTTGAAATCATTTAAAATAAGACAGATGAATTTATCATTAATGCAATTTAAAAACTGCTAACAATGGCTAATTTTTAGAATTGTAATTATCTATAAGATTAAATACTGTGAGGAAAACTCATTGCTATGCTAGCAACATGATCCAGAGCAGTAGCTCTGGGGCCATCAATGACTGTGATACCTGGCAATAAAGGTGTGACCTCCCTCTCAGGGTTCATGTGGGTACTGGAGAGACAGGCATAGTATGAAGTCATGTCTAAGAGATGGTTGGTTCTCATGGGAAAGGCCCTGGAAAGACAGAACATTAGGCGGAGTCAGGGTCTCATTCTCCCACACTGCACCAGCTACTTTGGGGACAGCCAGGTCTCTGCAGCAGAAGAAGCAGTGCATGCAGTACCACACTTGCAGGCCCTGGTGACTCACCAATTGAAGAAGTTCCAGGACCAGCCAGCCCAGTGCACCTGCATCAACGAAGCCAATCAATGGATGGATACAGAGAGCTTGGATCTTTTGCCATGATCAAAAAAGATAAAAGGAAATAAGAATCTCATGACCCCAGGGATAGGAGCAGGAATCTATTTAAAAGAATGAAGGTTTATCAATAGATAAATTAAGAAAATGAAATTAAGAAATGAAAAAAATCAAGAATTTCCTCAAGTTCAAGTAATAGGTTAACTTGCCTATGAACACTTGGCTCCATCTTACATTTTGCGGATGGGGGGGGGCAATACTGGGGATTGAACTCAGAGGCACTCTGAGCCGCTTCCCCAGCCCTGTTTTGTATGTTATTTAGAGATAGGGTATAACTGAGTTGCTTAGAGCCTTGTTTTTGCTGAGGCTGGCTTGAACTCACGATCCTTCTGCCTCAGCCTCCCAAGTTGCTGTGATTATAGGTGTGCACCACCATGCCCAGGTCCATCTTGCATTTTAATCAACAGTAATAGAAACAGAAGAGAATGATGATATGTTTTGGGACAAGGGTATCCCAAGATTTTCCAACTGCCCAGATTTCATGCAATGAAGTGTGTTTTAGCAGTGGAGATCTCCATTGTCATACCAAGCCAGGGTTCTCTGAGGCACCCACTCTTTTAGGTGCATAGGGTAGCAACAGGCTAGCAAGATTCCCAATCTGCTGGTGGACTGGTGGAGTTCAATGAAGTTGTTGCCAACCTCCCGTACACCAGGAGTGCCACCATATACCTGGTGTGTCACCATCTATTTTCCATTGGCCATGAAGCAACAGCCATGAGGTCATTTCTAATTTGAAGAGGGGGCAAAAAACCACTTTGGGGGTATTTGGTTTGGTTTTAATATTCAAGAATTTATAATTTATTAATTTATCGAGCTGGAGAGGGTGGTCAGGATAAGAACTTCAAAAGGCTCCTACAGATGGCTTTTCATTTTTTAAAAAATTCTTTTAACTGTTAAGGGATCTTAATTTTATTTATTTATATGTGGTGCTGAGAATCAAACCCAGTGCCTCAGACATGCTAGGCAAGCACTGTACCACTGAGCCACAACCCCAGCCCCAGATGGCTCTTATTGCCACCAAGACATAGCTGTGCTTTTCTTGAGATTTTTGCACATCACATCTTTTGGTCTGGACCCTGCCACACTGGGTATGAGACTTCCATGATGACCCCATGCACTGTCTTCTCCTGCTGTTCTGCAGAATGGTGGGAAGGGCAGAGACATTTCTCCATTGCAGGGAAAGGGATTTTTTTTTTTTGAGATGGTATCTTGCTATGTTGCCCAGATAGGTCTCAGACTTCTGAGCTGAAGTGATCCTCCCACCTCAGTCTCCCAAGCAGTTGGGATTACAAGTACATGCCAC